AAGGAGGGCAATGCCAGTTCTAAAAAGAAAAAGGTGCATTTACAGCCATTACTGGAATCATCCGTGCCCTTGTTTAAACAAGAAATCAGGACTTTGCCCCAGGAGTATCAGGTTCAAATGCACTCCTCTTAAATTTCAAATGAGATCGCCGAACAATACATGCGTTTTTCCCTCTTAGACGTTAACAGCATCAAAATGAAATCCTTACTGGGTTGAGCAAAGCAGTCCTGACTTCTTCTCCATAACGGTTGCGAAGGCAAGGCCCACAGAACTGGCCACGCACTCCCACGCAGTCGGGGTTACGACAATTAGTCTTGGTGTCTGTAGTTTTCTGGCGACACTGATGACAGGTGGAACCCTGGGAGGGGGGGGGGGCGCAGAGATGGAAAAGGTAAAAATCAGATTCGCAAAGCATAGCACGTGCAATAATCCAGCCATATGCACAGTGGACACTATTGTACAGATTCAGTGAGGTGCACAAAGCCCTCTGAAAACACAAACAGATATTGTATATTTACAGCCAATGAGAAGGTAGAAGTGCTTTAATGCCTTGAATGCAGCCACTGATAGGCACAAAAACATTTTTGTTTTTTAACTGTGGACTACTTTATTCGAAGGAGCTGCGGTGGCTCAAGTGGTTAAGATGCTGAACTGCAGGCTGTGGAAGGTCAGTAGTTCAGCAGTTCGAGACCCAGGTGCCGCATGATGGAGTGAGCTCCCATCTCTAGTCCCAGCTCCTGCCAACCTAGCAGTTCGAAAGCAAGAAATTGCAAGTAGATAAATAGGTACCACTTCGGTGGGAAGGTAACAACGTTCCGTGCGCCTTAGTGTTTAGTCATGCCGGCCACATGACCACGGAAACATCTTCGGACAGCGCTGGCTCTTCGGCTTTGAAACGGAGATGAGCACCGCAACCCTAGAGTCGGATTCGACTGGCTTTCGAGCAAGGGAGACCTTTACCTTTACTTTATTAGAGGAAGCAGATGAAACTTGCAAGTATAGAGGGATAGACAGGCAGGCCCCAAACAGTTTACAGTCTAACCGGCTGGCTTGTTGGCTGCCGACAGGTTTTGAGGGAAGTGTGCTGCTGCTTCAACAGAGGCTTAAATGTGCAGAAATGCACAGAGAAGTTTCTCAGGGTATGGAGGTAAAATAAGCCTCTATTAATGAGACAGAACATTTCACTCCAGGGCTGTTGGCAACCACACTCAAATGTACCAGAATGACCTTGGGCAAGCCATGGTTCTGATAAGAGCTGTTCTTGAAAAAGAGCAGTTTCTTTCAGAGCTCTCTCAGCCCCACCTACCTCACAGGGTGTCTGTTGTGGGGAGGGGAAGGGAAAGGAGTTTGTCAGCCGCTCTGAGACACCTTTGGGTAGTGAAGGGCGGGGTATAAATCCAATTTCTTCTCTTCTTCTGAAACTTTGGCTTTAGCCAAAAGTCACCCAAAAGCGCTAAGAGCAGTGAACTGGGCAAAACAAGAACAGGCACGCTTCCAAAGGTTTCAAGCACGAAACAAATATGCTTACCATCACACGGTTGTACACTTTATCTCGGGCAGTCTCACAGATATTATTCAGCTCTTCCTCGGTTATTTCTTCCACTGGGCGGATAATGTGGGGAAGAGTCATAGCGCCAGAACGCCGTCTCCTCGGGGTGTCCAATTCATCCTGGAAGCAACAGAAAAACCCAAAATCGTACTGAACAGTTTTGGATTTAAACTGTTTAAAAGTTACACATGCACACATATACTGGAGAGCTGGCTCACACAGGCAGTAGAGCTGCCTAGTTTCTTACCGAAAGCTTCCTCAAGCTTGCTCTGGCCTCGAGTGAACCACACACACACAAACTGTGCACTCCCCACATTAAAAGCAATTCCCCTCCGACGGCCACAATCAACGCAAACACAGGTTGACAACTTGCAAAGGTCCTTCTGGTTTATGCTTCCATTTCCATTGCACAAACAAATGCAAGGCAAGGAAATTTATCTGTCCCACATGTGTTGACCCCCAGTGCATAGGAGCCCAAATCCTATGCTATCCCACTCCATTTAACCACCCGTGAAACACCAATTTGGCATCTTCTCGTATTCCCACTAGATTTAGGGCCAAACCCGATGTGACGGCATCCACTGGTCTGACACCACCACCATTTTAAAGGGACTTTAAAAAGCCACGAGGGCCCACAGTGCAGAAAGCTGGGGGACTTTTGTCCCTGCCCCCCCCTTCCCCCGGCCAAACACCGGGGCTATTTTTGGGCAGGAACGCACAGGAACGGAGTTCCGGCTGGCTCCCGAGTTGGCCACGCCCAGCAGGGACTCGTTAGCATAATAGGCCACACCCAACAGCAGAAACTCATTAGGACTGGCTACATTAGGGGTGTGTGGCCTAACATGCAAAGAAGTTCCTGCTACAAAAAAAAAAGCCCTGGGTTTTGACAATGAACAAGGTAAACAGAATAAGAAGCAAAAGGTGGGTGTGGCTGGATGAGCACACTTCTGGTAACATGGGGGTGTGGCCTAATATGCTAATTAGTTTCTGCTGTTGGGCGTGGCCTATTATGCTAATGAGTTCCTGCTGGGCTTTTTCTACAAAAAGAGCCCTGGAAAACACTATGCCTTTTAAAGTGCTGAAATGACAGGAGGGCATGTGTGCACGCAGCCATTTTAGCACCTGAAAAGATAACCGGGGGGGGGGGGGGGGGGACACTCTTCAGCCTGCCACACCGTGGGCCTAACCGGAACTGGACCCTTGCGACATTTTTAAATCCATCTTAAATCCATTTTTAAATCCCTTTGGACGTAGAAAATGATCCACCCTGTGGATGCCATCACATCTAATTTGGCTCTGAGAAAACCCATTTCCCATATATTAGTTCCACCTTGGTTTTCAATGGTAATTAAATACAAACGTTTATTCTTAATGCAAACTGCATTTGAGCTACCTAGGCTATTTTTTCATGCTCCCCAAAATTAAGACCTTAAAATCATAAATAAATTAATAACTCTAACCTCCGAGAAGTCATCAGATATCTTTCTCCTCACTAAGACGTAAGGGTCCTCCTCCTCCCTCTCCGATACAGGACTTGGAGGACCTTCGATCAAAGATCTGGATCTGGTGTGAGGCCTAGAACTTCTTTCTGGATTCCTTCTTAAAGCACTTCTAGGAAAGGATCTCCTTGGAGATTTCTGCGGTTTCTAGAGTCAGGAACAAAAATAGTCAAAGTAAGGATTCTGTGTAATGACATGGAATTAGAACCATCAGGCTCAATTTTGACATCTTGTGAAGTTATGCTCTGTACCTTGCTTAGAACCCTGTGTTTTGAGCTTCCAAATGTACAGGTAAACCGTGGTTCATAGTACCCTTAAGCACTTGTATTTTCCTTCCACTTCGCTCTCCCATTTCCATGGGCCTGATGCTTCTGGAAGCAGAGTAATGGCTTAACCACGGTTTGTCAAACCCTAGTTAAGTTTCCTATATGATTGTCTGGCGCAATTATCAGAAATGCACCCCATTCACAGTGAGCTCAAACTCAAATCCTACCCACAAATGTCTTTTGCTTGAGTCTTCTCATGAAAATCTCATTTTGGTAGGTTCATTATGCTGCCCTAAGCTTTTTGGAGGTATGACACACAAAAAACTATGCTGGACAGTTATGATATGATTTGATTTAATACACAAAGATTTTGCAACAATAACAGTGACAAAAGAATAGGCAAAGAGGAAAGCTACAAATGGCAGAGCATTTGTGTGGCATGCAGAAGGTCTCAGGTCTGATCCTCAGCACCTCCAATTAGGAGGGTCAGATCGCAGGTGAAAGATCTCCCTGGAGAGATCTCCCTGCCAGCCTGCGTACACAATACTGACCTCAATGGACCAAAATAATCTGAGTCAATATAAAGCAGGAACAAATATTTATTTATTTATATCAATCAATCAATAAATAAACCTTTAATAGCATATACAACATTAAAATCAGAAACAGAAAGTGACACAGTTAACTAAAAAACTGGAATAATTATAAAATCATGAAACGGAGTTTCCCAAATTTTTCACTCTTATCACATCAACTAAAAAATTAGCCACTGCCACTGTAATCTCTGCTGTTGTATCATTCAATAGAATTTGACATTTTCTTTCATTAGAAAGGTGATATTTACCATGCAACCAAGAGTTTAACCATTTTTCCCTAGCAGATACATGCAACGAACAGTCCAGCAGTATGTGATCAATTAAATCAAGAGAGCTTGAACCACAGTCACATCTCCGTTCGTACTTAGGAGTATTATGAAACCTACCATACAGTAGTTTTGATGGAAAGGCATTTACTCGAGCAAGGGAAAAAGCTCTTCGATGGCTAGGGCTATCCAAATTATACAAATACTGGGGAATACATCCCTATTTATAGATTTGATTTATACCCCGCCCTCCCCACTGCGCGGGCTCAGGGCAGCTTACAATCAGGCATAGGTCAGTAACAAATATAAAAGATTTTTAAAACCAATTAAAGTCTCTACCATACAATAACATTATTGTTAACAAAAGTGCTCTGATCTTCCACAAGATGGCATATTGCAACTGCTCTGCCAACTCAGCGTCGTCTGTTCCGGGAAACACTGGTGTTCTCACATCCAGGGCCAGGTTATGATGGTAATGATGGTAGTGGTGGTAGTGGCGGCTCCTACTCATACGCCTGGCGGAAGAGCTCCATCTTACAGGCCCCGCGGAAGGTCCTCAGTCTTACAGGCCCTGCGGAACTGTGCAAGGTCCCGCAGGGCCCGGATCTCTTCCGGGAGCTCATAACAAAGAGTTAGCTCCATTCAACAGGCCTCTGAGTTTTTGTTTTATTGCTTCTTTCTCCTCCTCTCTGCCCCCAGGGCTTCTTAACTCACATATGCAGGAATTCTCCACTCAAGATACTGGAGCAAGGAGACCTGGCCACAGATTTTACATAAGTAGAATCTAGTCCAGTGATGTTCACTGGCTCTTCTGAGCACTGTCCCACAATGTGGCACCCACCCCATGTTTCAGAAAGATGAGTAATGCCCTTGCCCGGTGAGGCTCGTGTTTGGCTCTTGCCGGATTTTCTGTGCCTCCTGCAAGGAGTACCAAGAAGGCAGCAAGGGAAAGTAAAGGGTGCTCAGCCCTCCAACTGCAGAAGGCTGCTCCAAGCCAGCCAGCAGTGTGATGCACCCTCTTCTTTCCTCTCTGCCCTCTTGCTCTCTCAACAGGCAGAGTAGCCTTGGCCATATTGTTCTCACCTGAGCTGCAGGCCTCATACCAGAGGGAGAATAAGAACAGTGAGGGAAGCGAAGGATGCACGGATTCAACAGTGGTTGGAAGAAACCACCTTATATGTTCTGATACATTTTATAGTGTTGTATGTGTGTGCTTGCTAGAGTGGCAGAAAGGGGCATAAGTATGTGGCTCTTCTGGTTGATAGGAATTGAGAATGTGGCTCTCCATGAGCACCGCCAGGGGTCATTTCCTGCAGGAGCGCACAGGAGCGGAGCTCCAGCAGTAAAGAGCCCAGGGGGCGGGCACATGCAACAAGCCCCACCCCCTGCTCCCAGCAGCCCTCAGTCAGAGCAAGAGGCAGCTAGGTAAGTTGTGGAGCTCCCCCCGGCCCCCCAGTCCAAAACAGTCCAGTGGCACCTTTAAGACCAAGTTTTATTCAGGTACAAGCTCTCCCTCCTCTGGGAGGACAGATCTGCACATCCCCCCCCCCCAATAGCTAGCAATCCAAAAGAGTCCAGTGGAGCCTGAGCGGTGGGTGTTGCCTTCTGACACACTTCCGGTGATGTCAGGGGGTGTGGCAAATGCAAATAAGTTACGCTAATGAGCTCCTGCACCTCTTTTTCTACAAAATGACCCCTGAGCACCGCTGATCTAGTCTGGCTGTGACAAGTCATTACAAGACCAAATAGTAGACTGGGATACAACGCACAAACACATCCAGGTCGGCACTTCAAAGCTTTATCTCAGTTTTTAGTGTTCTTCTGGCACGCAGCTGAACAGAACTTTGATCTGTTTGTTTTAGATATGGAGACTTCCGGGTGCTTTCGGCTGAAGTTTTGGAGAAAGGGAAATTAAAAGACAATCACAACGTCGGCAACTGTTTCATCACAAGGAACTGGACTTCGTCCCTTTCTTTTTTGAATTCTATACAAATGAACGGCGTTAAGTCAAAAAGTAGTCACCCCCAACAACTACGAAAATAATTTCCACTTACTCGAGTAGGAGTTGCCAGTGGACTTTTCTCAGTAAAAAAACCAGGGACGTTTTTTAATTCCGCCATTAGCTTCGCAAGCTGCAAAAGAGAGAAAAACGCACACTGAGGAACATTGGGAGACTTTAACACTCCTAGAGCATATTGCGGTGCAACTATACAGAGAACATAAATGCCTTTGGGGGGGGAAACCCCAACTGTTCATTAAAGAATTCTTCTGGCTGGAAAGCACTGAAGGATGCAAATGCCTGCCATGTTATCTTCCTCCCAGCCCAGCAGCCCACCGACCCCAAGACTTGATGCCCGAAGACACAGCAGCCACACACCGG